TTTACTTATTTCTGGATTGTTTTTGCAGTGTACGATGACGGCGGAAAGAAAGCTGGGGATAAAAGTGCAACAGTGTGCAAGCATTGTTTTCATAAACCGTTCCATCCCTAGTTAGTACTGAAACTAAAATCTCAATTACAATGTAAATTGTAGTTGATGATAAAGAAACTGATCGATTTGATTGATTGATTGATTGATTTGACTGATTGATTGATTCGAAGCTACCAGGAGCTATTCCGCATTAGCTACTACCAAAGCTGTAGGAAGGAGTTAAACATTGGGAACCTTACATCATGCTGCATTGCCCTTTAAAAATATATAAAGGTTTTTTGTTGCTTTTTTGTGCTGGAGGGACAAACAAATGTGCTTGTTTCAAATATTGCAGGAAACACGTTGCCCCCAACCTCACATACTGGTTCTTATGTCCATAGCTCCTCCCAGTCTGCACAAACACAAAGAGGAAATGTTGAAGCAATGGGAAGCTTTTCTCAGACTCAGCAAAACCTGAGTAATGGCAAAGCATTCGTCATGGTCTGTTGGATATTTATCTAGCATAAATTATGACTTTACAATATTTAAAGTTTTACTTTCCTCACTGCCCTCTAGATTTAGTTTTCACCTGATCAAGAGCCGCGCAGCGTAAAATCTACAGTAGATGTTAAACCACAGGAAACAAACAGGCAGCGTTCTGTGAATTTTAAATCAAAGAAATATGAAATAAAGACTTCTATCAGTACAGAAAGCAGTTAACAGACATTATTATATGGTCCCATGGTTGCAGGTATATCCCTGTCAAACCCAAATAAGATATATATATATATATATATATATATATATATATATATATATACCTGTTTTAAATTCATCAGATGGAGCTGTAAAAATCTCTCTAAAAAAGGAATATGTGGGACTTTGACCCAACTTTGCTAGTTTATTTGTTATATTTAATGCTCTGAACTTCCATATCAATGTTTTTTTTTTTCCATACCTGTTTACATTTTTTGATTTATTGACTTTATTGATCTCACAGGGGAGACAGTTTGATCACTGCTGCACTTTAAAAAATGGAAATGTAATGAAAGCTGAACAAAATGAAATGTTTTGCATACACTCTGTGTATCAAAATGACAATAAAAGTTGTCAGAGTCATTGCACAGCAACAGCAGTGTGCAGAAAACCAGTTGATGTGTTTAATGCTTTCAGTACTGATAGCAGGTTTCTTGGATTTAAATTTCACAGAACGGTGCCTGTTTGTTTCCTGTGGTTTAACATCTAGATACTAATGCAGAGCTGTTCGCTTTTGATCAGATGAAAACTGAATCTAGAGGGCAGAAGGGGAAGTAAACCTTTAAATCTTGTACATTCAAATTTTACTTCAGAGAAATATCCCACAGACCGTGGCAAACGTTTTGGCACAGAATGGCTCAGCTCTGCTGCAGCATTTAGTTAACGCTAAACTAGCTTCTAGTTGAGAAATTGCACTTTTTTTGCTTTGAGTCAGAAACTTGAATGAAAGCAGGTTAATTACTTGAACCCTTTGAATTTCATAAAGATCATTGACTTAATGCGGTGGTTTCCTTTCTTGTTAAATGTCTGTACAGCTGTCAGCTTGTAGACCAGTTACACCACAAATCAGATTACAAGAAAAGATGATTAAAAAAGAATGTTTTTGCGACTCGATGGCTTATTTTCAACATGCTGTGGCATCCAATGTTGTTTTTAATGCAGAAATTCTAATTCTTAGTTTAAAGTTCTATTTTTGTCTGAAAATGATTAAATATTTCTATAAGACAAATCAACTTAAAGCAACGGTAGCCTTTTTTTAGTACCATTAATGGGACGTTTCATCCCTTATATGTTGTAATAGGAGACATGCTGGAACGAATGCCTGATTCAGAAACAGTCATTTTTAGTTGGAAGATTGCAGAATACGGTTGCAGAGAAACTACAGGGGAAGATTTTTGAATCTCTTGGTAAACCTGGGTTGAAGCAATCTTCCTGTGATAAAAAAAAAAGATTGACCTTTCCAATCTGACACAAAACTAGACTGTAATTTATCTGAGTTAATTTAATATAGTTTTTTAGTTTGCTTGGAGTGTTTTGATGTTTGCTTTTGCATGCTGGCTGATCTTTTGTATGTTTTTACAGTTCAGAAACTTATTATTTTCACAAAAGTATGTTTGTTTGCTAAAGCAATCATGCATAACTGGTGCCCTAAGTTTCAGCTTAATTTAGATATATTACAGTCATTTTTTGGGTCAATATTCAGCACTTTACAAGTGTTTATTGAAGCTCCCTATGGGTTCCTCTTCTCAGAAACGTGCCTATTTATCTTTAAAGGTTCAGATTCATTGCTGTATTAAATCAGGAATTTGAGCTAAAATTTGTTTTAAGGCATCAAACCCAATATGACCGTTACCTGATCAGATATGTTTTTAGTTCTCTAAAGTAGGATTTCATCTAGAGGGTGAATGTTTCTTTACTAAAGGGTTCTGCTATCAGATTCCAAACCATAGAGAAAGACTGTTTAATTTTTCATCCTTCAGGGACCTTCAGGTGGACTAAATCTGGAAGTTACAGATCTAGAGTCAAGCTAGTTATTCTTTAAAGGTGCATAGTCACATTATTTGACTTTTTTATGCCAAATATCCTGCCTGGGTCCTCTGTTGTTTACCTTCCCACACATATAAAGTTTTTTCTGAAAGATAACTAAGTCACTTTATTTTTTTATTTTACACCTTTTAAATCCCTTTGTGTATATTTACAATAATAACATTGGTATGATACTACATACACTCACCAGCCACTTTATTAGGTACCCCATGCTAGTAACGGGTTGGACCCCCTTTTGCCTTCAGAACTGCCTCAATTCTTGGTGGCATAGATTCAACAAGGTGCTGGAAGCATTCCTCAGGGAGTTTGGTCCATATTGACATGATGGCATCACACAGTTGCCGCAGATTTGTCGGCTGCACATCCATGATGCGAATCTCCCGTTCCACCACATCCCAAAGATGCTCTATTGGATTGAGATCTGGTGACTGTGGAGGCCATTTGAGTACAGTGAACTCATTGTCATGTTCAAGAAACCAGTCTGAGATGATTCCAGCTTTATGACATGGCGCATTATCCTGCTGAAAGTAGCCATCAGAAGTTGGGTACATTGTGGTCATAAAGGGATGGACATGGTCAGCAACAATACTCAGGTAGGCTGTGGCGTTGCAACGATGCTCAATTGGTACCAAGGGGCCCAAAGAGTGCCAAGAAAATATTCCCCACACCATGACACCACCACCACCAGCCTGAACCGTTGATACAAGGCAGGATGGATCCATGCTTTCATGTTGTAGACGCCAAATTCTGACCCTACCATCCGAATGTCGCAGCAGAAAGCGAGACTCATCAGACCAGGCAACGTTTTTCCAATCTTCTATTGTCCAATTTCCATGAGCTTGTGCAAATTGTAGCCTCAGTTTCCTGTTCTTAGCTGAAAGGAGTGGCACCCGGTGTGGTCTTCTGCTGCTGTAGCCCATCTGCCTCAAAGTTCCACGTACTGTGCGTTCAGAGATGCTCTTCTGCCCACCTTGGTTGTAACGGGTGGTTATTTGAGTCACTGTTGCCCTTCTATCAGCTCCAACCAGTCTGGCCATTCTCCTCTGACCTCTGGCATCAACAAGGCATTTCCGCCCACAGAACTGCCGCTCACTGGATGTTTTTTCTTTTTCGGACCATTCTCTGTAAACCCTAGAGATGGTTGTGCGTGAAAATCCCAGTAGATCAGCAGTTTCTGAAATACTCAGACCAGCCCTTCTGGCACCAACAATCATGCCACGTTCAAAGTCACTCAAATCACCTTTCTTCCCCATACTGATGCTCGCTTTGAACTGCAGGAGATTGTCTTGACCATGTCTACATGCCTAAATGCACTGAGTGGCCGCCATGTGATTGGCTGCTTAGAAATTAAGTGTTAACGAGCAGTTGGACAGGTGTACCTAATAAAGTGGCCGGTGAGGGTATATCTACGTAGGAGGTAAAAAAGGAGGTAGCCTA